GGAGGTTCTCCTGGAGGTGAGGATGAGGAGGAGACTGATTCATGTCTTTTGATTGCAAACAATGGGGGGAAGAAATCTTGCAATTGTCATGTTAGATATAACACAGTCTCATCCTGAAAAACTAGATATCTATTGCAGAATAAAATGAAAAGTTTTGTAATAATTTTTGAAGGGTGTTAACCAGCCCAAGGCAAAACTGAGCTGTGGGCCATTATTCAGTCTTCCCAATAAAAAGCCCTTTCAGTTTGGCTATAAAATTAAATTGTATTTTAGAATATGCATTAAGCATTATAATCACTGAATTATTGATAGAGGTATCAAAACTAGATTTTAAGACATACTACAAATAGAAATACGGAAAACACTTAAATGAGAAACTAAACTGAACATCGTCTTTGTCTGCCCTCCAGTTGTGAACGTGTTGTGATGTACAGGACAGGTGCACTCCATGACCCCTGTGACATCACTTGTGGGTGGGGTTAAAGGTGCAGCACTTCTGAATAAACCCAACACCCATTAGTGATGCTGGCGGCGCTCAGAGGTCAAACAGGCCTGAAAACATTCGATCCGTAGGGGCCTTGTGTCAAGGGCCGCGGGAAAGTATCCAACAATGTATTACCTGTAATAACAGACCTGGAATACCCGGAATGATGTCTATATTCATGTACAAATGCACTTTATATGCATACATTTGTAGCCCAATAATGGGACTGAAACAGACTGATGCAACAACCGTCATTTTTGTTATTGAAATTGTCCGCAAGTTGTTGCTTTCTGTCATTTAAAGATGGGATTAAAATGAAAGAAAAATGGCTTGTTTTGCCAAAGTTGAGGTTGTTCCATAGATTCAGAACCACCTGTAACTGCGGCAGGTCTTTGACAGAGGGCTCTGCTCACTGAGATGTTTTCTTTAACGACTCAGGGTGTCATGGCGTTATGCCCGAGGAATAATCAGCTCTGACGACACTCTGTTTGCTCGCTGGAACGCCCCTCTGCTGGAGCGTGTGATTCTGGACCCTGTGATGGAGGAGGACGCAGGTAAACACTCCGATGCATGTGCTCACACAGAAACTGAATTTAGTTTTCCATTTCTAAGGAGAGGTGCATGTATAAGATTTGTTTTAAACACACATTACTTTTACTCTCAAAGGCTAACCAGAACATACAGTATGTTATGTCAGAAGTAATTTGATGTGCTGCCTTTTGCCTCACTTGTTTGATATAATGGCATAATGAAGCTGCACAAACAAAGTAGCATCATTTTCAGGTGAGGTTTAAAAGTAATGTCTATGGTGTTTATACGGTAGACAAATAAAGTTTCAACATAATTTCACAATAATATCCTCGAAACAGCACTGAAATTCTCACCAAGACATTCCCACAAAGAGAAACACACAAAAGTCCGGAGCGCACGTTCACACACAGACATAAACACACCTCCTGCCTGTTGAATGAAAGGACATCATTTAAAGCGCCGATTAATCACCATGTTATATTTCAGGTACTTATTGCTGTGTCGTGCAGGATGCCAGCTTCCGCAGGGTGAAGAGGGTTTACTGGGGGATCCGGGTTTTGCCATCCTCTGTACTCAATCTGGACTACGAGAGCTCTCTGGCCCAGTGGGACTCTGGAAACCAGAAGCAGAACCAGACCGAGTCAGACCAGAGAACGCCTCTGATTTACACTGTACGGTTTGTTCAGGATGGGATGGATTTGGGGAAGCAGTCATGCACTAAAGATTATTTTGGGATTTGCTTCAAGTACTATTATGTACGAATGGAAGACTTTGTGAATCCTCTTTTAATCGTCAAGCAAGTAGCCCACACACACAGTGAACATAACACACTGCCTTTATCCCATTTTAGTATGAGGAGCAGTGGCCAGCTATTATACTGTATATACAGTGCCTGGGGAGCAGTGTGTAGGTCTGGTGCCTTGCTAGGGCATTTTGGCATCCCAAAGAGGCAAATGAACACCTCTCCAGGCACTTGAACTGTCAACCCTCCATTTCCCAAGCCAAGTCCCTCAGATTGAGCTACTGCTGCCAAGATTACATATTGTGTTAAAGCCCTTAGAAAAACAGCTTGTCCACAGATTCAAAGCACTTAATAAAACTAAATTCAGCAGAATTATTTCATAGTGTATAACGATCTCTTTTTTTCCACTTTTTTTTTGGAGCCACCAGTGCCCTTATTGAAGTGACAGTGTTGAAAGGGGAAACCAGAAGGCGTGGGTAAATGGTCCCAGGCTGATTTTGAGCCTGAGTCTTCTGCATGAGGACCAAGCCCTAGTACATGGGCTATAGCTCAACCATGCTATATATCCTATATATCCTTCTTATCAACTGTGCATTTGTTGTGTCTGAACACTCAGGTGCTGATCAGTTTGAGCCTGGCGGGCATTGGTGCTGGATTGATGCTGCTGGGCCTCTGGTGGACACTGAGGAGGAGAGAGTTCATGTGCTAACACAGTTATAACTGATCTTCCATCGCTCACCGCACAGGCAATTACATTTCTGCACAAACAAACTCTTACTCTACACTACCTGTTCAGTAGCAGACCACAGACAGGCTTGTTAGAGACTGCCTGCTGAACACAGTGGAGCATGTAGCCACTGAAAACAAGTTATTTCCTTCAGGAGTCGGTAGAGACCAACAAGACCTCCAAAAAGAGAGAATAAAAGAGATCGGCTGGACACAAACAAGACTCCAAATGATTGATGATGTCGTTGCTGGATGTGAAAATGAGGGATTGGTTGTAAACACGTTCGCAGAATCAGATTAAACGGTAATGATGTGAATGTTGTGTTCTCATTACCCATAAGGATCCTAGTTTTAAGTGTTGTTTGGGCAATTATGCGTAATTAGATTTAGATTCATGGGATTTGGATTTTATTTGAAGGCGGTTTGTCTCTTCATTAGAAGTACAAAGATGACAGTAAGCAATAAGAGATGCAATAATAATCCCCAGCTGGGAACATTGCAGGTTAGAACATCTCAGACCCCTCGGCTACGAGACCACCACTGCAAAATACCCTTTTCCATCAACAGAAAAGAAATCTCTTCAAAATGCCCGTCTTTTTTTCTCTAACAGTACATTGCATCTGCCAAGGAGACAGGTAGATTAACAATTTGATAAAACTAGGCTTTGCAATCAGAGGAAAAAGGAGGACAGAATGTTTTTTCCCCCACAGGAGACATGTTGACATGTCAGGGAGCAGAACAAAGCCATTGTTAATGTTGTTAGTAACACCTGTGTTTTCGCTGGGATAAGAACAGATGAAAACAGAGGATCTTTGACTGATGGATGGAGTTTAGTCATTTATCTACATGATGTAATTTTGATCACATCTGAAATTTAAGTGAATCCATTGCCATGTTGGACACTAGTTATTATACAGCCAAATTAGCTATTTACAGGTGTTGCGACCTGGCTCAGAAGGCCACAACAAAGAGGAGACACAACACATTAACGGGTAGAGAAAGGTTTTTATTTGCACCAACAAGTCACATAAACACTGGGTATGCTCATCAGAGCCGGGTGCCTGCAGGAGAAAGCAGAGAGCGAACAGAGAGGAGCAGAGAGGCTTTAAAGAACTGCAGGACACGAAACCCAGGTGTCCTGAGTTACTGCAATCAATGCAGCAAGTGCAGCACAGACACACCCTCTTCACTGATGAACCTACAGGGGCATCACATCGTCCGATATGACGTAATATCGGAAATGTGGACCCACGGCACTATCAGAAAGTTGCTATCAGAAATAATGCCCGACTGTTTTGCACGTAATATGGTCGACATGTTTTTAATATATTTTTATATCTGAGACCTATGCTATTGCCTAAAAATAGCATGATAGGTGCACTTTAAATAAACCTAATTTTTATTGATTTTCTTTTCACTAAATGTGCACACATTTTGAAAAATAAGTTTACTCTCTTCCCCT